CGAAATGATTTTTTTTTTAAATACTAATTTTAATAAATGTATATTATACTTAAATTAAATAGTACAGTGGTTAGATCGTGAGATATGATATTGTAAGTTGAGGTAACCGGTTCGGTTCCTAAGGTGAGTAAAAATAAATAAATAAATATAATTTAATTAAAATATACACATGTAATCATATATATGCGTTAATATCCAGTGCGTTGAACAACAATGCATAATGTGTTGCACTACAAATTAGAGTTGAACGACGCGTATATTAACATTATGCGCTGATATACTCCAATATATGGGTGTTGATTAATATTGTTAATCATGTTGAACAACTAGCTGGTGTTGATCAACGCGTATACTGGTGTGAATCAACGCTTTTCAAACTTGCTGATGATAAAGTTTGGACACATTTGGAAAGACATTTTGTATTATTAGATTTTAGAAGAAATTTAAAATTTAAAGAAAATTTGTTGCTTGACTTGAAAGTAAATTTGAAAAAATTTGATTTGAAAATTTGTTGCTTGAAAAAGTTGAAAAAGTAAATTTGATTTGAAGTTTGAATTTTAATTTTTCATTGAAAAAGTTTAAGGGTATATATATATTTTTAAAAACCTTTTGTATACCATAGTGACTAATAATAAAATAGAGTAACTTATTATGATTCATAAAAAAAAATTCTAGATTATGTATGAATCACATCTATTACATCAATTAATTTATAGTTATTTATCCTAAACTAGTAATATGAGTTAGCTTAATGATATAATTGTGGATTATTTATTGGAATTTACTGCAAATAATACTATCAAATCACTAAAATATCAGTTTTTATTAATGAGTCATAGGTCATTATCTATCTATAATCATGATTATAAAGAATTTTCATCTGTAGATCGGTGGAAATCTAGATCTCTAATTGTGACTCATCAACATTTATCTAAATTCGTTCAACAAAATTTGATATATATTAGGGATTTGAATATTGTGGGGCTTATACAACAATCAGTATTCATTTGGACAAAAAATTCCCAATAACATATCATGATAAACATAATATGAAAATAAATTATTGGTCAGTATATTAGGATCATGCTGATTTTGACAGACTGATATTTTTTGTTAATGGCTAAATAATTGATATTTTTTTTCCATCAGTTAAATATGACTACAATTTTACAGTTTAGTATATTTGATTTTTATAAAAATATTTCTAGTCTATAGTTTTTTCCCGCTCTCAGCTGATATACTTAGTAAATAAATTTTCTGGGTGATAAAAAATTTGACTAAATCGGTAGATTGGTAGGTTGTGTATTACAGTGTTCGGAAATGACCTGGTCATTTGACCATTTAAATGATTTATGAAATCATTTGTCATTATTCATAATCATTTGTCATTTGGTCATTTCAATCATTTGATTTTGATTGGCTAATATTATCACATAAATAATCATGTGACTATAATTAAAAAATAATGAATGTAGTGTAGGCAAAAATTATAATGCTGGCCAAAATTACATTTAAATGACCAAGGTCATTTGTCATTTGAGCATTGAAATGACATGTCATTTGTCATTTGTCATTTGAATCATTTGGTCATTTCAAGTCATTTGCCGAACACTGGCATATTATATATATTTTTAACGTGTTTTCAATTTTTTTTCGCGATCACATCACGTGATCGCACACGTCTTAAAAATTCTTCGTAGGTTTTGTAGGTTAAATGACTCAAATAAGTCAAAACGAAAACCCTTACATTGTTATTTATTTATGGAAATAGTTTTATTTTATTGAATATTTGCTGCAGATTTTTATGAAATTATAATCTTTATAGAATCGAGTACAACATGAAGATATAAGGGAGAAATGATTTAGGACTCAAAGATATTCCAACTAAAACTATGTTTGATTGTGTATGGTAACAATTTTGACATATCCTTATTATATAGTTTATTTTATCATGAGATACATCTTGTGTTACTCTGGAAGAAGTGGAGGAAAAAAACAAACACTATGAAATTTAGGAAATATGGCAAAACCTGAAATGATACTATCAGAACTTCTTCATATATTCTTACACTTGCTGTTATGATATCTACAGACACATCCAACTCTATATTGGATTCTATATGATGGCCTTAATCATCAAAGGTTCAGACCAATTGAAAGACAATTAGATGAATTTTTGGAATCGCCTTTTGACAAATGCTAGGGAACCCAATGTTATTGTAATTTTGATACAAGTCAGGATGATATTTAAATAAAATAACAGCAGTCCGTCGTGTAAAAAAAAAATTAATAGCGTTTGTCGTTTCTATTTAGAACGGCATAATATTTTTTTCCCCAGTTAGGATGTAAGATCTTGATGCAAAAATTATATTAGGCATATTTATGAATTTTCTTATGAATTAATGTACCATAACGAATTACTTGATTGGAATTACTTAAAAATTAACAATACAATAATATTAATCACATGATGTGTTCACTTTAAAAGATGAAAAAAATGTACGTTATGCCGGGAATACCATGAAGTTCAATATTTGTAGTAATTGATGTAATCGTACTTTTATTATATAATAAAGTTATTCAAATTAATTTCTTATTAATTGAAAAACTTCGTACTCTTCTATATTAAATTCATCTTCAATATTTCTTTCTCATAATTAGCTTTTACACATATACTATAATCAGTATTGTTTCCCAATGATCAACTGATATATGAAGATCAGAAGAACTAAATGAGGACCATCACAATTAGAGTTCCATAATGCTTTATCTATATTGTTTACACGACTCAAATTCACCTAATTTATCTTTATTCTTAAATGACGAATATAAAACTATAAGATTGACTATATTGACCCAACTATTACTAGGAGATTTCCATATTAAAGGATTACGTCCGTCTAAGTTTTCACCAGTTCCCTCTACTTTAATAAATATAACAGTATTGGGGTTTATCATCACATAATTCATTAAATTTTTTAGGAGTAAATCTATTTTGATTCTTTCTTAGTAATAAATCGAATTTGTATGGTAAATATAAATTTCTAAGATGTGCTAATTTATTGTTAATATTCTCTTTATCAATCCACCTTGAAACAATTGAAGCAATATTTAAATTATAATATTTGAATCAATGATTCCATTAATTTTTAAATTTCTAGGAAGTGGAATATTACTGCTAACTGGTTTAAAAAATCAGGATCCATATAAGAATTCAATAAATCTTTGTAAATTTGATATCGCTCCCTGACCCCTAAGCTCCTTAAGGAATGCGATTCTGTAAATTAAATATCGGTTGGGAGCTCTTGACTTAAGTTTATCTTCCGACCTAGTTGCTAAGATCTCTTCTACCGTCAGTTCTGATGGAAATAGTACTTTAAAGAATGGAACTTCGTATTTGGTCTGAGCCAAGACATTATCATTATTCTTCTTATTTAAAGCTAAATATCTTCTTAAATATAGAGAACGGTAACATAAAATACCAGTATGTGCACGAAATATTTTTACGTTAGGGTCTTTGCTAACTTCAATCGTAATATCATAATATTCACCATTATCCGATAATTTAATAAAATTTTGACTTAATTTCGGAAAAAATTGAATAGACATTTTTTAGTAATCGATGAAAAAGAAAAAAAAAAAAAAATAAGTAAATAAAACAAAAATGGTTAAAAATTTGTTCAACGTTGTTCAACGTTATAACTTACATGCATCCATAGGCAGGTTACTGTTTGTGACACAAGTTCACCTGCAAATTTATAAGTCGATCATGCGGTTAAAAAAAAAAAATTTTTTTTTTCTTTTAATAAAGTTGAATTATACTTAAAAAATGTCTATTCAATTTTTTTCAAAATTAAGTCAAAACTATATTGAAATTTTAGAGGATAATGAATATTATGATATTACTATTGAAGTTGGTAAGGATCCTAACGTAAAAATATTTCGTGCACATATGATTATCCTATGTCACCGTTCTTCATTTTTACGAAGAATTTTAACTTCAAACAAAAAGAATAATGATGTTTTAGCTCATATTAAATTATCAAATATTTCTCCGGAAACCTTTCAAATTATCTTGAGGTAAATTAATACATATAATTAATTTAAAATGACAAATTTTAATATTTTATATAAATCTTAATATAGGTATCTTTATGGTGGCATTTTTTCATTAAATAAACAAGATAATTTGAATATTATTAAAATTTTGATTGCTGCTGATGAACTACTTCTTCACGAATTAGTTGACTATTTACAAAAATATTTAATTGAAAACAAAATTGAGTGGATGGAACAACATTTTGAACTTATACATCGAACAAGTTTTCAGTCTAATAATTTATCAGAACTTCAACAATTTTGTACAGATTTTATGGCTAAATCACCCGAAAAAATATTTAAATCGCTTGATTTTACTTCGTTACCCGAAAAATCATTAATTTCACTTATTAAAAGGGATGATTTGCAAATGAAAGAAATTGAAGTATGGAAACATGTGTTAAAATGGGGACTTGCGCAAAATCAAACTTTCATTTCTGATCCCGATACTTGGACAGATGAAAACTTTAAAATGATGGAAAATACTTTACAAAATTGTTTACCTTTAGTTAGATTTTTTAGTTTATCATCTAAGGAATTTTTGCATAAAGTGAGTCCATACAAAAAACTTTTAAACCATCAACTTTATAAAGATTTATTGAATTCTTATATGGATCCTGATATCGAGCCAAATTATAGCAATATATCACTTCCCAGGAACTTAAAAATAAGTGATGATATTGAATCAAATATTGTTAATTTAAATATAACTTCAACTATTTCAAGATGGATTGATAAAGTGGATTGTAATAGTAAATTTTCATACGTGAGAGAATTATATTTACCATACAAATTCGAATTATTATTAAGAGGTAGTCGTGATGGATTTAGTCCTAAAAAATTTCATGGATTATGTGATGATAAACCTAATACTATTACATTTATTAAAGTAAAGGGAACTGACGAAATCTTGGGTGGATATAATCCTTCAATATGGAAAAATTGTGATGGATGTGGTAGACCCGGTTGGGGTCAATCTTATTATAGTTTTATATTTTCTTATAAAAATAAAGATGTGATTAATGATCTAATTTTAAGTCGCATCAAAAATATAGATAAAGCATTATGTTATTATCGTTATCATGGTCCCACATTTGGTGGTTCTGATCTTAAATTATATTGTAGTGCTTATGGAAACGAGCATCCATTTGATTCTAATGTATGTAAGCAAACTGACTATGAGAAAAGAATAAGGGATACTGAAGATAAATTTTATATAGAAGATTATGAAGTATTTCAAATCACGAAAAAATAAGAGAATAAAATATTGTAAAATAAATGTCCTTAAAGATCATTCATATTTCTGTTTTCACAATATAAATTTTTTATTTTCAAAAAAAAATAAATAAATAAATAAATAAATGATGTTAAAGGTATATTATCAAATCATGTGAAATTGAACCAATAACATGTTATTCTACAGCCAAATGGGATCATGCTTTTTTCATCATGCTGATATTTTTTTATTAAGCTATAAATAAACTACCATTGTTTAATCAATAGATTATTGTATTTATAAGATGATCATTGGCGGCTGCAGAATAACACAGTTATTTGATAGGGTGTTAAAATATCATCCGAACTGCTTCGTAGTTCGGTGATATTCTAACCCCCCTATCAAATAACTAATAAATAACTGATGTGCGTCAGATACCTGACGCGCGTTACCAGCCGTTACCTGTATCGTGCATTTTCACAATAAATTATACATATATGAAAAATATACTTGTCTTGTGATTATTTTATAATTTCCCGATGGTAAAGGAAATTGAACGATAATATTATTTGGATTTTAAAAAATTACAAATTTGCTAAATTACCAAATTTCTTTTCCGTATTGAATTTAAAAGTTCATTCTTTTTATTTTCATTTTTAGACATTAAAAACGAGCAGTCTTGGCAAACGATATCAAAAGTTTAAAACTTTTTTGATAAGAAGAATTAAGAATGATTGCATATATTTTTCTCTAAAAAATATTAATATGTGATCAATATTTTAAAATGTCTATTTGTAGGTTATTTTCGTGCCTATAATTTTTACCTTTAAAAGATTTGAGTTTTTATATATTAACGTTAAAGCAATTTAACATAAAAGTTATAATAAAGCCACAAAGCGTAAATTTATATATAATATCATATTTCAAATATTATCTTTTTCTCAATTATGAGTTTAAATCAAATAATAAATTAAAAAAAAATTAAATATAATTCCGTTTCAATATCATTTAATTAATTTCCGTAATTAGAATAGCGAAACTTACGTAATCGATTCACAATAATTTTTCCAAATCATGGTTCAGCAAAAAGGCCAAAACGTTCTGAAATAGTTAGTGAATTCATTCCACGCTTTGTACGCTTGCGTTTGCGTAGTAATGAAAAGATTTCAACTAGAAGATATGTTAACTTGGAAAAATAGATTTTACTGTAATTGGTCCAAGCCAACTTATTTTTATTCTCTTGGTTAAAAATGTAAAGTTCTCAAAAAGAATTATGTCGAGTAGACACAAAAAACAGATTAAAGCTAATTCTTTGTTATTTTTTTTTTTGTTCTTTCGAGTGATAAACTCTGAATCTTTCATGAATCAAGCTCTATTTCTCTCCATCTCATTGAGATCGGGTTCTATGTAAGGTTTTCGAAAAATCTATAGTAAATCTTGTCTGGATAAATATATTGTATAACGGGAATCCAAAATTGATAGTTTCGTGGGTTCAATAATAAGTTTTGATGTGTCTCCATAATTTGGAAAATATCTAAATATTGAGCATACGTTAACATGATTATTCGTTCTTCAGAAAACTCATTTATAAAAAAAATTATATTTTTATCCAATAAGAAATAATTTTGGTTTCTTTAATTTTAACAAACATTTTCTAGATGAAAATTCATTTCTCTTCATTCTTCAAACTACAACCGCTACAGTTACGTAATTCTAGATCTATATTATCTTGATTACTAATAACTATATAATGTCTAACAATAAATTCTTCTGAATTTTTATCAAAATCAAAAATTCTTCCTATTTGTAATCCATTATTCCAAAACATAATAAATTGATTCTGTTCGTAATCATTTTATTTTATTTTTATTTTTAATTCTATAAGTGAACTAAGTTACAGTGTAAATTACAATAGAAACTATATGCTAGAATCGAAAAGTAATTCAAAAAAAAAGCAGTAAGCCAGACTGCAATAGTGGCGGCGCCACCTTGATCGAACCCAGAAAAAAAAAGAAAATGGCAGATACACCCTAAGCCCTAAGGGTGTAACCGCCCTAACCAAGGTATAAGCTAAAAAAAAACTAAAAATAGTTTTATAATTTACCCTCTACAAATAAAACCCGGACGCAGAGCATATTTCTATCATCTATATGGTTAAAAAGTAAAGCTATGTAATATAAAACAATTACCGTCACATGGAAGAAGAGAAAAGTCGGGAAGAGAACAAGAGGGAGAGGAAGAATAATTCGAGCTACCGATGTCGTATAAGTGACTCTGTGACAGAGGTGTCAACGTTGAAAGTGAGTTGTCGTAACCGATGATGTAAAGTTTCTTGGCGTTGTTTATCACGTGGTTGTTTAGAGTGAAGTTCTGGAAGGTTCTTTTTTTTTGTATAAATTTTTACCTATATCTGCATGGCTTTTCCGGGTCTTTTAAGATTTCGTACAATCCAAATTATGGGAAATTCAAAATTAGTTTTTTTTTTAAAATAATTTGAATAATTAAAAAGGCAAATTTAGTGTATTTTTATTTTTATTTTTTTTTTTATTAATTTTGACGATTTTTTTTTGATATATATATATATTGAAAGTAATATATTTTTGAAATTTGAACACTTCTTAATATTTGTAAATTAGTTATTTACATAACAAATATTAGTATTAATATGTTGTCTCATATGAAACTCCCTGTTATGACTAAGTTAACTTATAATTTTATTTTTTAGAAATATAGAATGTTATTTTTTCTTTATATATTAAATATTAAACTTAATATTTATTCAGATAAATAAATTAAAGAATAAATACTGATAAATAAAAATTGCTAAATTGAAAGTTTTTCTGTAAGTTATTAAAAATTAACAACTGCCTAATTAATTAATTAGAAATTAACATTAACATTAATATTCCTTTCAAAGAAATAAACTTGAAGTTCAAATTATACTATGATATATTCTAAGTGTAAAATTTTAAATTAAAATTCGAATTCCAAATAAAAGGTCTATCAATAATTTATTGAATTTATTAAATATTAAAAATTCACATTTTTATTAAAGAGATGATTTTATTTATTAATTAATCATTTTTCAGAATGAAAATTTAAGTGAAAATTTGAAGTCAAAAACTAAGATTTTTGTAAATATTTTTAAAATAATTTGTTTAATATACAGTATATATAAAGATATATTATAGTTTTTTTTTTTATTCGCAATTCTTTATAAATTATTTTCAGATTTTGTTAATATGATATCAATTCCAACAGAAATTAACGAATTCTTTCTCAAATTTTCAAATTCTCTTTTGGATAGTAACGGTAATAATCAACATTCGTAAAAGTTTAAACTCACGTTGCCTGTTATGGAGAATTTAAATAAAAAGCTGCAATTGCCAAAATTGTATAAATTTAATTGCCGATCAAGATTATTGTGTTTCTTCTGTGTTATTTTATTTTAACTAGTCTTTTTTTGATAATTTTGTTGCCGATCATGAAATCATTACAACATAAAATAACGTTTCAGTCGTTTCATCACTATTTTTTTTTTTCTTTCCTTTTTTATTATTTTTTTTTTTTTGTAGTTTTTATATACGAATTAATAACTTATTTTTGNATCAACAGAAATTTATTTATTATCCTGATATTAGGTGAGTTATTGTAATTGCAATGAAGACTTTTTTACGATTTAGTTCATGGGTCTGCACACGTATATATATGTCTAAGGTTTTCCAAATATATTATCTGTCGGGATTCTTTGTGAGTCTAGATGAAATCTGGTATATGTGCCTGAGTAAGCGTGGATGAGCGTTCTGATATCAGCCTAGTAATTCAATAACTCATTTATCTGAGTGATCATAGGATAACCTTTTTTATTTCTATTATAGATCATTATCGATTATTTAATTATCTCCAAGTTACTATCATAAAGACCAGGTAGAAATCTGTCTCTTATACACATCTAGATGTGTATAAGAGACAGGTGGAAATCATGTCGTTGATGAATTTATTCAAAAAGCACAATTAAAAGCTAAAGATGAGGACCATATCATAGAGTGGATTGAATATGATAAATTTGAAAATGTTGAATATTTAGCAAAAGGGGGATTTGGAACTACTTTTAAAGCAGTTTGGAAAGATGGCCTTATGTATAATTGGGATTATGAAAATGATCAATGGAAACGAAATGGTAAAAAAAAAGTCGCTTTAAAGTGCTTACATGATTCACAAGATATTACAGCAGATTTTTTAAAAGAAGTAAGATATTATTTTTATGAATCTTCATTAGTCTTTATAAAAAAACTAACCATAATTTTATTTTAAGATTGAATCAAATATTTTAGTATATTCTCTGGGTTTTACAGTTCGTTGTTTTGGCATTACCAAAGATCCAACAAAAAATAATTTTATGATGGTAATGGAATTGAAAAATGGTAGTTTAAGACAACATTTAAATAACAACTTCATTTCACTGAATTGGGAGCAAAAGTTGAGTAATTTAACTGCTATTACAATTGGACTTAAAGATATTCATGATAAAGGATTAATACATCATGATTTTCATTGTGGGAATATATTAAGCGATTTTAAACGAGATGCTTATATTACTGATTTGGGATTATGCCAACCAGCAAATGTCAAATCTTCTCAAAATAGTAATAAAAAAATATATGGAGTATTACCTTATGTAGCTCCTGAAGTTTTAAGAGGAAAAGAATATAGTCAAGCAAGTGATATTTATGGATATGGAATTATTGCATATGAAATTTCTACAGGTTTCCCTCCCTATTATGATATGGCTCATGATGAATTCTTAGCAATGAAAATTTGTAATGGGTTGAGACCAAAGTCTAATTATAGAATTCCTCAATTAATTTTTGACATTATTAATCAATGTTGGAATGCAGACCCTTTAAAACGACCTAATGCAAGTGAATTACAACAGTTAATTTATGATTTATGGAATGATACTCATAATAATAATGTGAATTCTGTAATTTATAGACAAGTTAAAGAAACAGATGATATTAATAAAAAGTTATCATCTTCAATGATTCAATCATCATTATCATCTACTAGTAATCTCTTATATACAACACATCCTCAAGCAGTATATACAAGTAAACTTTTGGATTTTAAAAATCTTCCAGAGCCCAAAAATGCAGACAATGATGATTTAGAATATTCAGGTAATTTTAATAAAAAATAATTATTTAAATCTATTTAGAGTAATAATTATTCTTTTATTTTACAGATTCCTTAAAAATGGATTTTACTAAAGGTAATTTATTTCTTTTTCATGTGATTTTTGATCTATTAGTAAATTTTAATTAAACAATTTTTTTATTATAGATTAAGAAAATTAAAACCCATTTACTTTAATTGAAAATATTTAGTATATAAAAAAAAACACATTAGATACAACTTTATTTTGAACTGATATTTTTAATATTATTCTGGAACATTTTGATGGAAATATAGTAAAGTTCATATTATCTATTATTCATATTTGAAGATTAACATTGTAGTAAATTTTAAAATGTTTTTTTTTTATTAAATAAATTATTATATTAAATTATCTAAAATATTAATAAGTATTAACGGTTGATAACTAAGTTTATTAATGTAAAATTACTTTTTTGTAGCGCCTTTATTACAGCAGTATAACACATCCATTAGAAGTTTATGTAATAATTGTGGCTTAATAGATTATTTTGTGTGTACGTTATATAAAAATGGTTCTAAATAAATTGTGGAAAATTATTCTTTGATAATATTCTTTATGATAGAAAGTATCAGCTTTTTACTTTAGAGATTTGAACCGATTAATAGTAATGGATGATTAACCAGTTAGAGCATCTCAAAATTCGGTTAATCGATCAAAATTATCTAAATCATGGTTCTATAATGCAAGGTGAAATTTCGGTCACATATTCTCCAAATTCGTTTAATAATAATACAGATACAGTAAAATTAATTAAATATTGCTTCGTGCAGCTAAATATATGAGTAAAAAAAAATTGGTACAAACTGCAGCTAAAAAGATTTTAATATTAATCGATTAATTAATTTATTAAGGCCCTTGGTTAAATAGTTTCTAATCGGTTGAAGTTTTTTTGGTTATTTCCAACCTTTTAATTTAGAACTTTAATATGCACTTTGAATCTTGAGTTAACTCATCAAGTTGAACTTTCGCTCAGAGATTCTTTTACATACTAAAGAGCAATGATATTAATTTTATGGATTGATATAATAACTTTAGCGTTTAGCCACATTTTTATAATTTTAGTTGTTTATAATCTTTAATTTTTATGAAATGTTTGTATTCTTTATTACTTCGTATAATAAAGAATACTTGGCGAATAAATTGGCAGTGAGAACCTTTAGAATATTGTATGGTGAAAGAACTATTATCATTACTTTAGATCTGCTAAAGTAATTTCAGCTTCTTTTGAAAGCATGACCAGAATTAATAAATTGTTTAAAAAATTTAGAAACTTCACATTAAATAAACTGTATAGATTTAGAATACATTATTATTACCGAAAAAGAAAAAAATAAGATCTGTTTTCTACTACTATATAAGAATTAGGAACTATCATTCCATGTTATGGTGTTGTTTTCTTCTGCAAATAAGCATTAAATTTCTTGAATAGATATTATAGGAAAATGAATTTATTCCATATGAATAAATTAAACGTATTATACAGTATATACTCTTTAATAAAAATCTGTGATGTGAAATGATTAAAAAAATTTTCGTATTCTATGGATTTTTTATTTAATGATTTAATTCACTAATATAGAATAAATGTAGATAATTAATCATTTCATTATTTAAATTTTACGATGTGAATTTGTAAGTGTAACATGGAAGCGCGTGATATGTCTGCGCCTGATCTATTCCATATCTGATTGGTTAGCTGTTGAGATCATGTGGCCGGTTAATGTAATTTTTGATTGGTTCTTTTTTATAATAACGATATTGATCAATATTTCTTTTAAAAAGTGGAAATTTTTTAATTTTTTTTTCAAACCGAAATTATTCAAATTATTTTTTTCGTTTTCTTTTTTAAACCCGATTTTTTTTTTGTATTATTATTATAATATCTTTATTTTTTTTTTTTTGTTCTTTTTTTCTTAAATTTTTTGTAAGTTCACTCGACTTCTCTTATTTAAAGTTTTCCCTTTTTTATTTTAAAAAAAAAGTAAACCTTTATTATTTAGGTTTTTTTTTATTTTGTATTTTATTTTATTTTTTGTACCACGCTGGGTTTCTTTTTTGTAGGACCAAACTTTCGAAGATTTAAATGAATCCAGACTATTGGAAGTACTATATGGGGAGTTATATTCGATTGTATTAAGAAATACAGTAACATTCTTTTTTTTTGTTTATAGACCACTGGACATTCTAGAGAATTGAACGGGACTTTGGAATGGTGTAAACAATGGAATTTAAATGTGGCGGTGTATTATTGTTATGCCTAACATCCCTCTATATACAGTACCTAAGACTAATTTTCTAATGAAAAAAAAAAATATTTTTTTGAAGTGATTTCTTTCAAAAAAATTTAATTTAAACTCTAATAAAAAAAAAAATAAAATGTGGATTACTGATACAATAGTATTTTTTTTTCTAATTTTCTACAAAAAAAAAAAACGTAAAAAATGAAATAAAATTTTCTAATTTTCTGATCAATTTTACTACACGCTAGACATATTTTTACAATATAATACCTTTAAATGTCTTTAACCTATAACGTCATGGAACATTTTAAAAATCTATAAATATTTTTTGTATAGTGTCTAGGAAACAACCAGAGGTCTTATGATTTTAATACATAGTAATTAGTAGAGCTAAATTACTTTGTTCTAAAAAGAAGATTGTTCTTGCATAATTTGCATAATTCTGGAATAATAATAATATGCGAGTATAATTGTTATATTTAGTGTTTATTGTAATGAACTTTGCTATAAAAGCAAATTTGTCTTACATAATTATTTTTTTGAACTTTATTTTATATGCAAAGAAATTTTTTTTATTTTTCCACTTTTGTACAAATAATTTCTTCACTTTATTTCTGTTTCCTTACTCGCTAGTTAATAAGTTGTGGATTTTTTCAGCAAAATTTAAAACTAAGCTAAACTATTTACGAGATATAATATTGTAGATTTATTCAGATATTCGGATTATATATAATATTTTTTATAGATATTATGGAAAAGAATCTGCTGTGCAACAAACAAAGAAGCATCATCTAAATGCAGCAAATAGTACAAAATTTTATAATATATTATAATAATAATAGAAAGCAATAATTTATTAATTTATTTTTATTTTATGGATGATAATGACATATATGATAATTCAAATTCTCATTTAGAAAAGCAAAGATAATTTAAAAATTTTTAATGGTAAAGTTTTTAAAAAAATTAAACAAAATTTGTTTTTAAATTATCCCAATATTTTTTCCAGACTTTTTTTTTTTTTAAAAAAAAATATCATATCATATCGGTTGATTGGAAAAATCAGGCCAATTAATATTTAAGCTCAATTGATGTATAACTTGATGGGTTACTTATATCAAACTCGATCGGACTGTGATGTAGATACAAAAATCGAATTCGAACCATTCAGTCGGGATAACATCTACATCAACTCACACTGAGCGGGCAGACAATGAGAACTGATACAAGCAGTATATAGTCCTTCACTTTGCTAAAATTTCATAATTTGGGCCAGCACTATACAAATCCAAATTATTAGTTATTAAAATTAATCAATTTACACAAACTAGTTTAAATATATTTTTATAAACTCTATGTAAATTATTATGTAAGTTATAACAGTATTACTTAGAATTCTATTAAGAATTATGATGTTAGAATTTAAATTTAATAGATCACATGAAATAATATAATACAGTAGATCAAAAGAAATATGACATATTAATGAATTTGGGCATAGCAAGTCATATGAAATATTGTAAACTGTGTTAAAATATATTCAAAATTTCAATTTCATAGTGATCAAGTGGATCAAGTGAAAATAAAACAATACAATATAATTATTATAACCCATTACAAAATAATGAATAATAGTTACTAGGTATTATTATTAATAATTAAGTAAAGAATATAATGGAAAATTAGTAATCAGAGTTTGTAATTATTTATCTTGTTGTAAATATTAATAATTATGACTCATTATAAGCAAAAAAGAATATAATGGAAAATTTTATAATTATTCATCTTATTGTAAACATTAATAATGGCTCATCATAAGTTATTTTATTGAAAAAAAGAATATAATGGAAAATTAGTAATCAGGGTTTGTAATTATTCATATTGTAAATATTAATAATTATGAATCATTACAAGTTATTTTATTGAAAAGGAATATGATGGAAATTATTATTTGTAATTATTCATCTTATTATAAGTATTAATAATTATGACTCATTATAAGTAATAAAATATCAATTAAAATATAATGTAAAATTTCTTATAAATAAGAGTAGTTTGGACCTTATAAAAGTATTTTAAATGTAATAATTATTCTTGTAGATTAGAATCCTTGGTTGATTTAACAATATCAACAGAAATTTATTTATTATCCTGATATTAGGTGAGTTATTGTAATTGCAATGAAGACTTTTTTACGATTTAGTTCATGGGTCTGCACACGTATATATATGTCTAAGGTTTTCCAAATATATTATCTGTCGGGATTCTTTGTGAGTCTAGATGAAATCTGGTATATGTGCCTGAGTAAGCGTGGATGAGCGTTCTGATATCAGCCTAGTAATTCAATAACTCATTTATCTGAGTGATCATAGGATAACCACTTTTATTTCTATTTATAGATCCGTAATTATCGATTATCTCCAAGTTATTATCATAAAGACCATTTATTAATAATAGCTTTAAGCAAAAGTTTTTATAAATTAACTTAATTAAATTTTTACTTTTTAAATTTTTTTGTAATTAGTCAATTTTAAATTTTATTAAATAAAGAATAAAATATTGCATTAATATTTACAAAATTATTATTTTTTTTTAAATCATGTTACATAAAAATTAGTTAACTTTAAATTATTAAATAAAGAAACAAAATATTATCTGTTATATTAAAATTTACTAAGTTGTCCCTGAGATGATTAATTTTGAATTCGTCAATTGTGATTTCATTATTATATAATAAAATTCGCTCGCCAATTACAGCCGAGAATAAATGTTTAATAGATTCGCCTAAAATATAACAGTCTAATGAAGTAACCATTCTGAGATATTACTGTAAGTAATATTATTATAATAGGGAAAGAAGATAGTATTTTATATACTTTTCCGAATACATCGTGACTAATATGTGTTATTTTAAGTATTTTAAACACATCGCAATGAGTAAAATATATTATTTTATTATGTTTAATAATGTGACTGTTAAGACTTAAGATATTACTATAATAAATTTACATTAAGCGAGCTTCTGGTTTTTGAGTTTTTCTGGTTCAATTTTTCTTAATTTTTTTTTTAAAAAATTTAACGAATATCACTAAATAAATATTCTCTTTTTGTAAGGAAATCGGAAAATTTTTTTAGGAAGCCAGTTTTTCAGTTATTTGAACAGGAAATTCGGCAAGTAAAAAAAAAAATTCTTTCATATTTTGGCGCTTATTTTATATAATTTAATTTAATTTAATTTATAAAATACTACCGATCCTACGATAATATAATTAATAACTTACATCCTATATTATCAAGAATTTAGTATGTATTATTCCTAGATTAGAAACTTTACAATATCTTTAAAAATCACAATATGATATCACTAAGCAGGTCGAGTTTGCGTAAAAAAATCAGGAAATCTTTCCTTTTATGGATAATGCCTGTCCTGACCGAAATTATCATCATAATTCCGGCACCGAAAAAAAATGCGTGTAGCTAATAGTAAAAAAAAAAAATATTAAGTCAAAATTTTTTTTATAGTCAAATATTTACTGAACTTGAATCTAATGGTTTTTTATTTTTTAAAATTGGTTTAAGAACAATAACTTTATTATGATTGGTAGAATAATAATATAAATCATAAAATTTTACGTTACAAAATATTGTATCTGAATCAATTAAATTAATATTATATATATTATTTTATATAAATTAAATTATAATAAATTAATAAATTATTTCATAAATCCCATTCAAACTCGATTATTATGACTATATGATTGAAAATCAATAGAATATTCCTTTTTCATTATATTCTTTAATTAAACTTTTAATTGATGCTTAAATTTCACTTTAAAATAATAATTTCCAATATATAATTTAATAATAAAGAATTTTTATCTTTCCAATTATCAAGAAATAATTTTATATCTTCAAATTTAATCGTATTATGATAAAAACAAAATTTAAATTTAAATAAATTATTTGATGATGATTTAGTTAATATCGATATTGTAAAAAATTCATTGGATCCCAATTAAATTCATTATTTTTATCTATTTTAATAATTAATCCATTTAAAAGTTTACAATTAATTAATAAATTTTCAATTTCTAAGTTAAGAGTATTAAAATTGAAAATATTGTTAAGTTAAGATATTTTAAATTTGGACAATTTTGATAAATTGTTTTAATAAGAATCTTAGCATCATAAAATGTGCTGATTTCTGAATTTCTTTCGTATTTTCAATTAATCTTGCTAAATACTTTAGATGAAACTTTGCAACTTTTAAAAATTTTAAAACGAGTAATGATAAATTTCAAAATAATTCGAATCATTCCATTTAATATAACCATCAATAAAGTCAAATTCTAAACTTAATAAGTTTGTAAGGTGAGAAAAAAATCTTGTAATAGGCTTTCATCCAATTTTCAAATATTGAATAGTATCTGCATGTTTAATCAATGATACTTCAAAAGTTTTGTAAATTGATTCATCTTCTATCATACTGACAAACTTAACGTCATTTAGATTTTTTTGTGTTTCAATTAATTTAATAATATCATTCACATCAGTAAAAACTCTAACACTTAATTTTTTAATTGATTTGCATATTTAGCCAATCCTTCTAAATGATATTGATTAACTTTGGTAGGCCAAATTATAATATAAATACATTCAATAACCATTTAAACCTATTTTTGTATAAAAGTATAAAATTGTTAAAAAAAGCTTTGAAATAAATATACTTAAATTATTTTAACAACATTTCAGAATTGGTGAAAGTATAATTGACACATAATTTAATAGTAAAATAAAATAGGCAAGTTCAATATAATTTAAAATGAAGTAATTAATATTTAATATATATATATATAACTACAATACAGTATACTGTATATTTCAAATTATTTAATTTTATAAATTTGTAATTTGCTTCCTCTCATAAAATTTCTTCATAAGTGCAATTGGCTTTAATGCATAAATTCTTGATTATTAATATGAAATACACCAGTATAGATTTACAACAAATTTTTCTGTAATTGCGCATAATGAATTAAACATGAATTACAGGTAATAATTAAAATTAAATGGAAACTCTTTCTATATAATAACAATTTACCTTTTTCTGATTTTAAATGATTTAATTTGTGTTGCAAGAAGGCATAAATTATGTGAAAATAGAATATCATCTGTCATATGATCTAGCATATGATTTTGTTAAAATATGATCTAGCATATGATTTTGTTAAACATGTCAAACCAAGAATATCTTTTTTTCCCTAAAAAAAAACATTTGATGATTTCATTGGCTGATAAATATCTTAAAAAAATCTTCTAGTAGATGCCATAAAACCTTTATTTCTCATAGTAATTACTGTATGACCTTATTATTTCAGTAATGCAATCCACATCAGCTATAAAAGGAATCCAAATGTAATTGCGTTGTAAAAGAGAGAATATAGAAAAATGTTTGCAAGTGTAAACAATTTAATTTACCATGTAGAATTGGCTGTCATGATTGTCATGCATCTATACAGTAACAAATGTTTAAATAGAGAATAGTAAGATAATAAAATTTAGTCACAAATATTAAAAAAGAATCTTTTTAATATAATGTAGTATTTTATATATAACAATTAAATAACTGTTCTTAAAAATTCTATCAATGATCAATTATATGGAAGCAATATATTCTATTTCCATATGATTTGATATCCAAAATCCACATTATATATATACATATCAACTAGTGATTGTTTGTCTGTTGTGGAACAATGGAGCAATAGTTACTGATCAGTCATCCTGCCCGTTTCTATCTGGAAGACTTAGTTTTTTTTTAATTTTCTGTGCTACCGTTAGCAATTTAGACCTAATAACCTAAAGACAAAATCTTTATATCCTTTATTTCTTGTCTCAAACATCAAAAAATTAGATATAATATTAGGAATATTCTTTTTTTTTGATAGATTGTCTTTGAGCTACTTAACATAACAGAAAAATACAAGAACAAAAAATACAAGCGGCCAATTTGTGAGAAGTGTAGTCTCACTGTAAGAATAATATAGTAATGGATTCATCGTTTTTATTGCCAGAGTTAGTAAAGGAAATTATAGAACTAACTATCATATAAAAATTCATTGTACAAAATTCTAATGAAGGTATGTTAAATTGAATCTTAAACACATTTTGCGGTTTGCGGCACAATCAAACTGCGTAAGTATGGTGAGCTTGTTAGATGTTTAGATTTTTTTCATTTCAAAGATATCAGGATTAACGAACAATCTCAGAGACTAGCACTATAATAATCATGGTATTTTTTTCGCAAATAAAAAATTTTTATTACACTTGACCTCATTCACAATAATTTGCACAAATATTTTGTTAAAAATAATGTATAAGCCCGAAAATGTTTATACTATTAAAGGAGATTAGCATCGTTGAGCATTATTTTTTACTTCAATTCAAAATATTGTATGACGTATGGTATGGGAAATACAATAACTCTAAAATCATCCGTCCCGTAACATGAAAAAGTAAAGTTCTACTGTGATACATATATTTTTAGCGAATCTACTAATAATCCAGCCAAAAAAAAAGTATTCTGAAATTTTTATTATTACAGATTTAATCGGTTGTTAAACAATCATTTTCCCAGCGATGGGACCGTGACCCAAGGAATAGTGGAACTGCGCACATGTAAGAAGAATATATGACAGTAATAAACGAAAACCAATATTTATTCATTTATTTTTTTTTTTTAAAACAGTATCGCATTTATTATTTATGATCAAAAAAGAATACATGAATGTAAAAACACCTAGAAAGAAGCAGACAAAACCTAACTACCCTCTATAACTGAGTTCAATCTAGTCTAAAAAAAAAAACTACGATAATTCTAAAAAATTAAATTGTTAATTTTTAAATCTATCTGTTGTGTGTGTTATATGTAATAGCGCTACTGATCTAAAAATTTATAAGTTTTTTTGAATTTTTTTCTTATTTTCCTATGTTTTCTAAATTTTCTAAAATTTTCCCTAAAATACTTAAAGGAAATAGGTATAACATCTCGTACCAACGGATTAAACGGATTAAAGATAGAATAAAGTTAGATAGTTCAAACAACATCCACGTATATATAGATGGATCAGTATCTTACTCAAAATTCTTCAATTCAACAGGATTTTAAAAAATGGGATGAGGAAGAAATTAACATGATGAAAAAAACTCTTCATAGATGTATTCCGTTAGTTAGATTTCATTGTCAAGAAATTTCATAGTTCCACAACCACAACCTCCACAACCTTCACAACCTCCAAGAACTCCCATTATAAGAAACCGAGACGCATTACCGGGAATAAATAACCACCATGTTGACATATAAAATCATAAAAAAACAAAAAACAAAAAAATTAATACATCGTAATCTTCCTAAAAATTAAAATAACGTGTAATTCTACATGACAATTTAACAAAAACAAAATTAAAATTGGAAACATTAAGAAAAAAAAGCTCTAAATCAACGCTCTTGATGGGCTTGAATCCAAAAAATCGTCCAAAACTTGTCCGCGTGTAGTCTTCAACCAAATCTGAACGCTTATCCAAAAACCTTGATCTTAAATTTGTTTCAAAATGGGACAAATTTGTTTATTCACTATCAGAATCATCTCTTCATCCCTGCGCTGTCACTACGCATTTTTTGTTTTCGTTGACTTCATCTTGTTCCGTACTCGTTGTTCCTTTCTCTTCTTGATTCGTCTTATTCGTCATTTTATCTAAACTTTCGCTAAATTTGTTATTCAAATCGTCCAGCTCTTCATGTTCTTCTTTACTTCTAAGTATCGTAAAAGAGGACCTGTTAGTACATCTACGAATATTTCACCTTTAGACTTTGTGTGTGTAGGAACGCTAAATTTGTTGATTCCAGTCTTTCTATAGACTCCATCCTTTCCTATTAATTCCTTTTGGCTTTTCGTTTGTAGTCCTTTCCCTATATCTTCATCCATTGTAGATCTGTATATTGCCTGTAGCATATCATTTTCATTGTTGAAATATATCAAAATGTATTTAATTTTGTTAATTTTGATGATTTTCGCGAAATGACCACCATACTTCTTTAACTATATTAAATTCCAATTGATCATTTTACTTTTCCTTATCCTCTAATTATTTATACGCTTGCCAAGAATATCTCTCTTTTTTTTTCTTTGCCTCAAGCTTTTGCGTGAAAAAGTACTTTCGTTCGTTTCTTGATATCGCTATATTGGAGCCGCCTTTTACGAAAGTTTTTTCCATTTCTTTTGTTAATCAGATCCTAGCTCGAACTGTTCCGTACTTATAATTCCACTTGACCTCTAGCCTTTCTACATATCCAACTTTCTTGAGAGTCTCATAAATATCAACATCCTTCGGAAAATCGTAAAACTTAAGGTCACGTGATTGTTTGGCAAAATATTTATCCAAATCATCATCGGAAGTTGTTTGAACCGGAATTTCTTCGATCTTCCCTTTTTTCTTTTCTTGTGTCGATGATTTCTTTTTGGACTTTGTATGTCGATTGTGGCGTTTTGTCTTACTTTCTGATTTACCAGATTTACCAGATTTGGATGTACTACTCGTTTCATTATTTCCTAAGGAATTTTCCCCTTTTCTTTTTTATTTTCTCGTAATTCTATTCGTTCCTGCTGTTATCTCTAAATCTTTTATCTTTTCTTTTAAGCAGGTTCACTTCTTCCTCTTTTAGCTTGATTTCTTGTATCTAATCTTCTAAATCTTTTTCTAAAGACCGCATTTTTTCTTCCCAGTCTTGTGATTTTTCTTTGTTATGTGAATGAGAAGAAACTATTGGTTCCTTTGTTGCTGCGGTTTTCAAAAAATTCTCACGAACTATGTCTTCTAATATCTTCTTTATTATTTCACTTCCCAGCTTTATACATAATAAACTCGCAAGAATAACTGAAACGTCTCTGTTTGAACACTTGTCAGCTAATATTTCCCCCATATACCTTACAGGTTTGTAAAAAGTATTGCTACCTAAGTGTTTTCATTCGTATACCTCCAGGTCGAACTCGTCTTGGTCAACATGGTAAAAGTCACCCAAATAATTGTATTCCAGATCTTTAAAACCTAAGTAATATTGTTCTAGGTATCTTGTTATACTCTTTCCGTTTGGGAAAACTTTGGCTTCAGTCATTTTGTAAGTTTTTATATATAAAATTATATTTTATTCTTTCCTAAAAAAATTGGTATGAAAGATCGTCGGCAAACGAAAACCAATATTGCTGCCACAGCCGGCGATCTGTAATGTGTCTAAGGAACTATCGAATTATCAAATTAATGATTACTAGCGATATTTGTAATTATCTAAATTTGATATAAATTATATATTAATAGTTATATTAAATATAAGTTACAGAAACGTCGGACGTCGGACAATTAGTATCCGTGTGTTCCCTATTATCGCCACGTGACTGACGATCTTTGTAACAAAACCACATTTTGGATTTCTCCAATGATGGCGACCTCAGTATTTTATTACAAAACTATTTATTATGTATAATTTCTTCATGTTTTATATTATAGTTTAAAGATAAATAAATAATTTAAAATAAACAGATTTGTCATTTTTAAAAAACATATTTTCATTTGAGATTTCCTTATATATATATTGTATGTACATGTACAACCACGTACAAAAAAAAAAAAATAAATAAAATTTGAAAAATTTTTTATGTCGAAAAGTGATCATTGCTCAATTAACTCTACATAATAAAAAAATTTTTTTTTTTCTNCATTTGAGATTTCCTTATATATATATATTTTATGTTTAACCACGTACGAAAAAAGAATAAAATTTGATTCCCGATGTAAAATTTTTTATGTGAAAAGTGATCATTGCTCAATTAACTCTACATAATAAAAAAATTTTTTTTTTTCTGCAAGAGGCTGAAATTTTACGTACAGCCATACGTATTTATGCATGTGTTTCAAAATAAAAAACTCAATTAACTTTTCACTAAAAAAAAATTTTTTTTGTGCAAGAGGCTGAAATTTTGTGCACAGTTACACACGTGTTTTAAATAATAAAAAGTATATAATCGCAAATGGACGATATAAAAAAAAATAATAATTTCTTTGGATATAAAATTATATATTTATAAGCAATTAACAAATGAGTGACATTTCAGTAATCAACATTAACGATGATGCTGACAAAATCGATGCTGACATAGGGATCGGAAAAGATTCGATTAAAATCGAAACTATCGAAAATCGATAAGAATCGATTTTAAATCGAATCTCGAATAAAAATCGAATCTACTTATTGTGGCGCAGTTTCGTTAATTTGACCGTAAATTATTATTTGTTCATAATAGTTAATTTTGGCCAAATTCATAATTCCGCCCGCGAATCACGTGACGAAACACAAACTTCCTAAAAAGGAAATTTTATCTCCCAATAAAATTCAAGTTTCCATCGCACAAGGTTGTACAAATTTCCAAAAAAGGAACTTTGTTCGTCGATCACTGTAATTTTTGTAATCACGTGATATGTGTTTAAACACACCTATTATAAATAGTATAAAAAAAAATCGGTATTTGCGAAACGATTAATCGCGATTAATCGATTTTAGAATCGATTCTAATAATGGGAATCGATTCCAATCCCTATGCTGACAAAATCGATGTTGATAAAATCGATGTTGATAAAAATGATGATAAAATATTTACCTTCGATAGTGAACTACATAATGGTGAACCTATTACTTGGATAGAAATATCACCAAATGAAAACTACCTTATTACTTATAGTAAAAAAGATGGTTCAATTGTCGGTTGGAATGTTAAAGATAAAGATAAGGTTCAACTTAAATTTGATCAAACTATTAAAATTTTTAAAGATATTGAAATTTTTGATCTTGAATATGGAATCAATGAAATCGAAAGTTTGTGTGTTTCTGATGATAAGAAACTTGGTTATTGCCATAGTAAGTAATATTATGTAATTATAAGCTTATGGTAATTGATATTTATTTTAAATATTTTTTTTTTGTAGGAAATAAAATCGATATAATCGATATGAATAATAAAGATAAAAAAATTGCATTAAGTTTTGATATTGAAATTCGTCCACACTATTGTACCTTTAATTTAAAAGGTGAATTTATTTTATATAGTGGAGTTAACTCTTGCTTCAACGAGCATGAAATTATTTGGATTTATTCCACACAAACTAAAAATAACAAATGGGAATGTAAGAGATTTTACAGGATACCTATTTATCGTCATAATATTATTAGTATATCAAAATATGATAAAATTTACGTGGTTTCAGATGATTACATTTATGAATGGAATATTAATACTGAAAAAAGTGTAAAAATATTTGATAATAATAAGGATAGTAATGAAGTAATAAATATTATAAAATTATTTTCAAACCAATTGATGTTAAATTATAATTAAATATATTAAATATTATTTATTTTGTAGATTGAAACGGATCATATCGGAATATTCAGTAATGAAAAGTTTAATATTTTAAAAGTCAATGATAAAATCATCGTTTATTCAATCGAATTGGGAATTACTATTGCTTCTTTGGATATAAATGATGGTAACCATTTTTAATAAATTTTATTTATACTTTAATTATTACTCATATTAAATCACTATTTTTTTTTTATTTAGATATTCAACTATATAATTTTATGAATCGTACTGGTTTATTTCTTTTACCTTCTTCATTCTATTATACACCGGATAAAGAAATCAAATATTGCTGGAATAGTAAATACATAACTAGGTTTAATTGGTGTAATCTTTTATTTGATAAACAAACTGATGAACAAACAAAGTTTGTGTTTGGAATTCTAAATGAACGTGTTTGGAAATCTAAATTTTACGAAAATATGCCAAAAACTAAAGTTATTGAATGTGATGATGATGACAAAAAAACTTACATTAATAAGTCAAGGCTTTTGAAAGATGGAGTTGCATCATTAGCATCTGCAATTAAAAATCATAAGTTAGAATTAATTGATGACATTTATAAAAAATGTATGACTTATTTTAATGAGGATCCAATAAACAATAAGTCATTTTTAAGCATTATCACTTCTGCAATGCCATTACTAGATGAATATTATCCAGAATATATTCTAAAATATTCATCAGAAACGAATATGATAATAGATTCTTCTTTTTATAGTATAGAGCATCAAAATAAAAATTTCCATCTTTATTCTTTTTTTCAATCTCCTCAAATAGCTAATTTATCGAAATCTCTTTTATGGACAAAATACTATTATAAACTTCATAAACTTTATCATAAAGCTAAAAAGACAAATTTATTAATATTTATTTTGTTAATTATATATTATGCTATTCAAGCTTTAATAATACTTCCAACTTTACCTCTTTATTTGGCTACATTTTATATTTTATCAAAACACAATTTTATTAATTATATTTATACTCCAGATGTATTTTCTGGTGCTTATTTTTGGGCTGTTGATTATGTTGGAGGAGAAGTTAAATACTATATATATGAATATATAACGACAACAACACCAACAATTACTTTTATGATTCCTTATATTAATTTTGTTAATTATTCAAAAGATTATAATTGGTTCTTAGAATTAATTAGACCTCAACCTAGTCCATTTACTAAATCAATAAATAGAAATATCTACAAATCATGGAATGGTGAAGCATTAATTAATTTTAAATGGAATACTTATGGAAAATATTATTATGCAATGATTTGGATTTTATTTATGGCTTTACTTGGATGCTTTACTGTTGCTGCAACAATTCCTCAGCGATATATCAATGAAGAAGTTAGACAACAACTTTTTATTGCTTCGATTATACTTGGATTTATTCATCTGATATTTGAAATTCGTCAATTTTTTTATAATATTACTAAGTGGTTCTATAATTTTTGGAATATTTTTGGTAAATATAAATGCTTAATTTATATATTTACAATATTTTAAGAAAATGAAATTAATCATATATTTTTTAACATTTTAGATATAATTGCTTATGTACTTTCAATTTATACTTCTATTTATTGGCTTCAAACAAATGATAAGAGCAATAATTATCTAATTCAATTACTTTCTTTTTCATGCTTATTTTTGGATATAAAGTTTTTGTTATTTTTTAGAGCATTTGAATATTTTGGTATATATTTTGCAATTATTATTAGTGTTGGAAAAAAGATCTTTTCTTTTTTAGTAGTCATATTCATTATTATAATAAGTTTTGCACACGCATTTTATATTTTATTATCACCAAAATCTGAATTTTCACTTGAACAGCATACAAATAATAATGATCCAAATAATCCTTGGAATTTAGCTCCTAGTTATAGTCAAGTAACTGATAATGATGGAAATATAAACTCCAATCCATTTACTATGATTCAAACACCTGATAAAAATACAAACATGTTTATAGATATTAGAACTTCTCTTTTTGCTATATATTTATTTTTAGCAGGTATAATATATTTAAATCTTCATAATTATGTATAAGTATTTTCTAATATTTTTAAGCAATTCTTTTTTTTTATCAATAGGTGATTCAAATGCATTATCCAATTGGTCATATGCAGATAATCCATCAATTGCAATATTGATTGTTTTATTTTCCCTCCTAATTGTTGTATATCTTATGAACTTGTTAATTGGATTGCTAAATATTGCAATTGAAGAAGATAATAATAGAGTCTCATATTTGATACAGAAGGCAGAAGTAAATAATATTGGATAATAATAGAGTCTCATATTTGATACAGAAGGCAGAAGTAAATAATATTAATATTAATCATTCTATTTTTTATAAATATACTAATATTTCTCAATTTTTATTTTTTAAAGATTTTGGCTGAGATTGAGTTATTTTACCTATTACCACATCAGAGACGTTGGCAAACATGGTTTCCTGAAGTAATGTATGTAATTTTGAATTTTTTTTAAAAAATAATGTTATGATTTATTAATTAGTCAAATTTATTTTTCAAGACATTATTATGCTGATGCTGATAAGACTCAAATAGAAATTAAAAGATTGATTAAAGAGGGTGAATGGGATAATAAGGAATTCATAAAGACGCAAGAAAAATTATTAGAACAACTTCAAATTAAACGTAATCCTAATGGAAATGTGGTAATATCAGAGAAATTATCGGCGTTAGAAAAATTAGAAAAATCTCATTGTGAGATATTAGAGAAATTAGATAAGTTGGGAACATTAGAAAAATCTCATTGTGAGAAATCAGAGAAATCAGATAGGTTGGAAATATTAGAAAAATCTCATTGTGAAATATTAGAGAAATTAGATAAGTTAGAAAAATTAATTCGTGATCCGTCTCCAAACCAGTGAAAACTCATTTGGGAATTATTTTTGCAAATTAATCAACAGGAAATTCAGATAAGAATGATAGATATGGTGCACAGGAAATGTGGAATGAACTTACAACATTTATAGTTTAGAAGAAACTGCCATTTCAAAAGTGTCAATTATTTAAAATTAGTATACTGCTCAATATAAGCAAAATATGGTATAGCAAGCTAGACAGCCTGTAATTGACAAATAATTTTAATATCTTTATTTTATTTTATTTTTTTGTTTATAACTTTTAAATTATATAAATAATATTTAAATAAAAAAATATCTGTCATACTTCTTGTAATTGAATAATAGCATTTTTAAAATTTTTTAACTAATCTATATAAAAAAATTCTCGTGCAACTGGTTACGTTTATGTTAACCTGCATAAATATTATTGAATTGTGATTTGTCTGCGCGTATGGGCTGGTTTTTTGGAATGCCAATTATTCAACGTACCTGACACACCTCATTTGACATAGGCCGGTCCTGCAATGATGATTTGAATAATTTGATTGGCTGTCGGATCACGTGTACGTTCCTTTTTTTTAATTTTAGTACTCACGTGTACGTTCCGATGGCTAATTAATCATGATCGCCGCTGCGGTCAATCGCATCTCTTTTTTTAATATTTTTTTTCGGTCTTTTTTAGACTGGATCTTTTTTTTTTAATATTTTACTTTTTTTTCGGTAGACCGGATCTTTTAACCGAAATTTTAATAATTTTTAATATTTTTCATTCCGGTTTTTTTTGCAATTTTTTTCATTTATTTTTTTTATACATATTTTTTTTATTACCATATATTGTGGTTAGTAAATGAGTATCCCTGCCAGAATTAAGCGATTTTGGCCAGAATTATGAGGACCTTGGCCGCCATTAAATGCAAAAAAGGGGTCTTAAATACGATAATTTATATATGTATAAGGTATATTATCGTTATCAGTTGTTATTTACTTTAATCTTTTAGGCTTTAGATCTGGATACTAATATCTGGATCAAACACTGCAGTTTTACGGTAAGCATGATTTTTTATTTTTTTTTATAATTTTTTTTATTTTACTAATTTTTTTCTATTTTTTTCTTTTTTTCGCTCTTTCACTTGGATCAACATATAATTAAAATAAAAACGTGTTAATATTATATAAGATCTAATTTATTTAAATATTAAAAGCAAAGATTTTATTGTTATATTGGTTTAAACTCATTTAATCCTGTTGCAACGAAACAGGTTACATCTAGTCGTATAATAAAAAAATTATTGACGAATCTTAATTCCCTCAGTTTTAAGCAATTGGTTACACTATTTTTCAGCCAGGGTTGTAATACAGATTTGGTTAGTTATTTTTTAGGAAATATCACCAATTTGTATAACGTCGTAACCTTAAATTACAAGTTATATATTGATCAAATTTGTGAAACTAATATATGATGGTGCAAATTTATCATTCTAATACACTTCGGAACAATTGTTCTGTAATACTTAAAAAAAAAAAAATTTTTGGGATAATTGGCTCAAAAGTCATTTAAGGGATAATTAATTTGCAAAAATAGTTCCACGAAATGTATTTAGTAGTTTTCACTGATCACGAATTAAATAAGATAGAGAAATTATTGGAAGAAATGCATGCTAAATAATTTTTAATATTATGTTAGTTTTTATAATTTGATCACTGAAATTATGGATAGTAATGTATTATTATTAAATAGACCAGTTTGTAATCAATTATAAGAAAATTACTAATATAGATTAAATAAATTTATTTAAATTTCCTAAATTATTAATTTGATTTTTTTTTAAAAAAATAAAATAAAAAGATTGATAATATTGAAAATTTTTCATTAAAATAATGCAGTATTATTTATATAATTAATCTTAACATGAAATGAAAATAAGTAAAAAAAATGACATGGAAATTAGTACATACTTTGAGACAATATTTTTCCGGAGTTATTAACAAAATAGGAAAAATATTATCAGACTATAAACATGTCCATTTTACTTTTTTTCATATCATTTTAGCGTTTTAGACAACGAATATTACAAAAGATTCTTTTTAAATTGAAAAAAAAAATACTGAATGTCGTATAATATCTAAATAAGGATTTCAGCCTCTATAACGAAAATTACATTCGGATATTTGCTCTTTAAAAAATTTAGGACATGATCATAGACCGTTATTGTTCCCTTTATGGAAAATATCTTTCGGAATCTATTATTATAATTATTCAGTTGGAATTTATTATCAATAACAAAAATTATGAATAGTAACTCTATTATTTCCTGCACTTAACACATAAATATTAAGAGGTCCCATAAGAGAACGTACTTTACCAAAGGTAATAGATTTTAGCGGTAGTATATAACAGATCAATTCCACTAATCTTGAGTTTAGGTCAAAGAAGTGGTTCGTTTTTACGCTACAATAATAACAAGTATTTATTTAATTCGATTTTAACCGGCGACTCTTCTAAAACGGACAGAACAGGTAACGTTATTTCTAAACAAAATTATATCATAGCAAGTGATCAGGATCAAGCAAACACTATTTTTTCTAACCCGTGTTAATTAGATGTCATTTACGCAGGTGTTGATCGACCTTCTATTGGTATTCTTCAAGTATATGGTTAACGAATTTTCTCTTAATGTACAAACTGTATACTGTTTTATTTCTAGCAAAATGTTATTAACAAAAAAAAAAAAAAGAAAAACATCCCGCTTGCTATTATGATCCATTTGAAACAAGTGTGACCTTTCTTAATACATCTTGCTAATAAAGATGGATTCTTAATAGACTTTTGATTTAGTAAAAAAAAATAAAATAAAAATAAAAATTTAAGCAAAAAAAGAATAACCTAGTTTTGGTTTTATTAGATTGTGATTTCTGATCCTCAGAAAATCTATTCAGTTGTACGATAGACTTAAAAAAAATAAATAAGTAAAATAAAATAAAAAGTCACATTAACAATTTGTACAAAATAAATGAGAGAATATATTCAAACTTACATTAAAAAAAACTATCCTAAGGATTAATATGGCGTTTTGTATGATCTACTTGCAGTAAATCCTTATACCTGTGTAATAATGCCACCTCCAATATCACACCTACCATGATTAATTCTTCCAACTTGCAATACCAATACCAACAGTTGACCGAAAAAAAAACAACCATTTGATAAAATCTATTGGAAGTTTGTTAAATGAAACATGAAAGAAATTCGAAAATATAATGTACGATCGTTGATCGTCGTTTAAATTCAAACTAAAATTTTTAACGATGATTCATATCACAAAGAGAAAGATATCTATTTATTACTGGATTTCAACAATTTAATTAAAGGAAAATATAAAAATAATTTTACAAAAGTTAAATTCTATAAGTAATATTAAATTGCTAAAAGAAATTGGCTTGAATTTATTCAATACAGCTTAAGCTTAAAACAAGCTTCTCAAATGAGCTTGACGGTGTCAGGATTACCGATTAAGCTACCTTAAAATTGATAAATTAATTAATTTACAATAATCAATTATTTAATTCAGCCAATTAATTAACCGTTACAAATTTTAATTTCGTTTTGACAAGGTTCTGTCTCTTATACACATCTAGATGTGTATAAGAGACAGGCATTGTACTGTATGTTATGTTACAATGGCGTAATTATTATAACATGATTTTCAATTTGATTTAAATTTTGTAACAATCATCGCATATTTGTGTAATTGTTTTGACACCTCATCTTCCGATTTTTTTTTTTTTTTTTTAAAAAAAACAAAAAAATTTAAATCATGTCATCTCAAGATGATATTATATGCAAAAGCTGTAATAAAATATGTACAGATATTCAGTTAAAATGGTGTAGACCATGTGCAATAAATAACTTAAAAAAAAATTTCACGAACTGGACTAGTGGAAATGAAAAGATTGATGAGTTTATTCAACAAATGCAATTGAAAATAGAAAGTTTTGATAATATAATTGTTGAATGGATACCTTATGAACAATTCAATAATGTTAAAAAAACAAAGAAAGATGGTTTTGCTACAGCAATATGGAAGGATGGTTTATTAAAATATAATGAAGAAGAAAGGACATATAAAAGAATACTATCTAATATAGAAGTTTTTTTAAAATGCTTGAACAATTCACAAAATGTCATTAATGAATTTTCAAATGAGGTATGAAACTTCTATTTTTTGTAATTTAACCCTTAAAAGTACTTTTTTATAACAACTTTTACATTTATTAACAGAAATATTCCATTAAAGTAAGTGAAATTGATGAATTTGATATTCCTAAAGTATATGGAATATCCCAAAATCCAGATACAAATGATTATATTATAGTACTTGATAATAGTTATTATTGTAAAGAATGTGGTGAAATATATATGGAAAGATGGTCAAAATGGTGTAGACTATGTCAAATAAATAATTTAGAACTAAATCATAGTGGAAATAAAAAAATTGATGAATTCATTCAAGAAATGCAATTGAAAATTGAAATATATGATGATATAATTGTTGAATGGATACCTTATAACCAATTCAATAATGTTAAAAAAATAGGCAAAAATGGCTTTACTACAGTAATATGGAAGAATGGTCCATTAGAATATAATAATAATAAAGAAAAGTTTAATTATGAAAGAAAACCAAATAAAAAAGTCACTTTAAAATGCTTGAATAATTCTCAAAATGTTATCAGTAACTTATTAAATGAGGTATAAACTTCTAATTTTTGTAATTTAATCCTTAAAAGTACTATATAATAACAACTTTTATATTAAACAGGCTAAAGCATATTCCATTAAAGGACCAGAATATGATTATGATATTCCTAGAATATATGGAATATCCCAAAATCCAGACACAAAAGATTATATTATTATTCTTGGTGGTTTTTGTGAAAATTGTGGTGAAATATTCACAAATATATATTATCAATGGTGTAAACCATGTGACTTAATACAAAATTTTGCTAACTGGACTAGTGGAAATGAAAAAATTGATGAATTCATTCAAGAAATGCAATTAAAAATTGAAAATCCAGAATATAGAATTGTAGAATGGATACCTTATGACCAGTTTAATATTATTAAAGAAATATGCAAAGATAATTTTGCTAGAATGTATTTGGCAATATGGAAAGATGGTCCATTAGAATATAATTACAATGAAGAAAAGCATAAGCATGAAAGACAACCTAATAAAGAAGTCATTTTAAAATGCTTGAATAATTCACAAAGTGTTATTAATGACTTATTGAATGAGGTATTGAGACTTCTAATTTTTGTAATTTAATCCTTAAAAGCACTTTATTATAACAACTTTTACATTTAATAGGTTAAGGGATATGATGATATTACTGAAATATATGGAATATCCAAAAATCCAAATACAAATGAATATATTATTGTATTTAAAGATGGCTATTATTGCAAAAACTGTGGTAAAATATATACAGATATAGGTTTTGATTGGTGTAAATCATGTCATATAAATACTTTAAAACAAAATTTTGTAAATTGGACTAGCGGAAATGAAAAAATTGACAATTTTATTCAGAAAACGCAATTAAAAATTAACAGTCATCATGATACAATTGTTGAATGGATACCATATGACCAGTTTAATAATATTAAAGAAATAGGTAAAGGTGGATTTGCTACAGTCTATTTTGCAATATGGAAAGATGGCCCATTAGAATATCAATTTGGTGAAAATAAACATGTAAAAACACCTAATAAAGAAGTTGCTTTAAAATGCTTATATAATTCACAAAATATTACTAATGAATTTTTAAATGAGGTATGAAATTTATTTGTTTAGAATTTATTAAACACTTCTTAATAATGATTGTTTTTACTTTTTGATAGGTTGGTGCATACTCTATTAGTTATAATATAATTCTCAGAATATGTGGAATATCCAAAAATCCAGATACAAATAACTATATTATTGTACTTGAATATGCAAATGGTGGAAATCTTGATAATTACAATAATAATATCATCAGGAATCATAATTGGAATAGAAAATTGTATGTACTAAGTGAAATTGTTACAGGTCTTAAAAAAATTCATGAAAATGAAATAGTTCATCGTGATTTCCATACAGGAAATATATTGGTATCATTTCGTAATGATGCTTATGATGGCCATGGAAATTCTATTAGTAATATATATATTTCAGATATGGGATTATGTGGAGAAGTTAGTAATATAGACAAAACAAACATTTATGGAGTTATGCCATTTGTAGCTCCTGAAGTATTAAGAGGAAAGCCATACAATCAAACAGCAGATGTATATAGTTTTGGTATGATGATGTATCATATTGCAACTGGAAGACAACCTTTTGCCAATTGTGCTCATGATAGTGTTTTAGCATTAAATATATGTAACGGAATTAGACCTGAAATAAATGAACAAGAAGCACCAAAATTTTATATTGATTTAATGAAAAATTGTTGGGATCCAGATCCAGATAAGAGACCAAGTGCTATTGAAATTCATAAATTGGTCATAGATTTTTTCCGTAGTGATCATGAAATTGAAAGGCAAATTGAAGAAGCAGAGGAATATAGAAAAACAAATTTTTTATCTACTGGAAATAGTCAATCAATTCATCCACAAGCTTATTATACTTCTCGATTACTCAATCAATTTACAAAAGAACTTCCAAAACATGATGATACTTACAATATTTCAGCAGAAGTTATTGATTTTACAGAGTATGTAACATTTACTTAAATTATTGTTTATTTTTATTGAAAATTTATTAAATTATAAATCATTTTATAGGTTATGAAAATAAGTCAATTAGAATATGCATCTTCACCAAATATAAAAATATTTTATGAACGTTCATCTAAAAAATATAAGTATAAAAGATGTAACACAATTGTGAAAACTCATGTTATAATTATACTAAACTTCTTATGTTAGACACGATGTAAGTCTAATATAAAAACAATTAACACAATTTTATAATTAGGATAATATTTTTTTTTATTGATATCAATGTATTTTGTTCAACACTAATTATAGAGTATATGTAATTTTTTTTTTTACATAAATAAAAAATTAGTTTGTAATTGAGCAAATAAAATATAATATTTGAAAATATTATTACCTGATATTCTGTTAATTTTATGGTGATTAAAATGTTAATAATAAATATACTAGCAATTATCAATTTTTTAAACCTATTATTGGCGAATTATTGCCAATAATAGCTTCAATAGTGGATTTGTTGCTAACATTTTCTTTCAAAATAATAAAAATTTCCTATTATGTGGTTATATTTTGTATATTAAAATTATAATATACTTAATTACAGATAAATATATTAAAGATTAAATTATGAAAATATTGTGAAAATATTTATCAAGACGGAATGCAAAAAAAATTGATATTGTAATTTATAGAAATATGGTATACAATTTAAAATATATAATTTAATCTAGGCTGGGACTTTATCATTACTCTCGTCAAAAGAAAGAATTTGTTAATCTCTCACCATAATATAGAATTATTACATCTTTTATTGCTAATTAAGGGTAGTAAATAAATATTTAATGACTATATTAATATGCTTTAAATTATATAATAAGTTTAAAAAAAGAACCATACTATATATATATATATACATACAGTATATATATATATTAATATTTTTTTCAAGCATCATCGCTTGGCAAGTTCCTTTCTACGATGTTTACTTAAGATGAAATCGGAGAAACTATAGTCCGGAAGCCAATATGTTAACTTTCAACAGTATATATTGGCTTGAATTAAATTTAATTAAAGAATAAAAAATTTATCAAAATTCTCATTATAAGTATCTTTTTGTAAATGTTTATCATAATAAAAATTAAGATGATGCCGATAGGACCCAGAAATATATATAAAAGGGTCAGGTTTGAGTTTGCGTATTTTGAACTAAAAAATCATGAAAATCTTTCCTTTTTTAGATAATTTTTGATAATGCCAGTCAGAATTTTATTTCCTATTATAGTAACCGACTGGCATTATCATAATTCCGGCCCTGAAAAAATGCGTACAGCTCATAGTAAAAAAATTTTTTCATCACCTGACCCCTATATATATATTTCTGGGTCCTATGCCGATTCAGATAATTTGAAAGCGAATGTACTGTACTTTGTACAGGAGAAAAAAAAATATGTAGTTCGAGAATTAAGTTATTTAAATTGATAGATAATACAAAAGTATTTGAGAATTAAATACGTAATTTCATATAAAATTTCTTTGATGTGTTTATTATACTATCAAATAAGAGTATAATAACATAGAAATTTTTTTTACAAATCAATGGATGAAATCAGGTCATAACGAATCTTTAACTAAGGTGATTTCTAATGATATTAAAAAAAAAAGTTGTTATTAATAAGGAGCTTAAAAATTTCATAATCTTTTAAAATTTGAATAGTAAAATTCGCCTAACTTTGAAATTAATAATAAAATTATAATCACCTAAATTTCTTTAAAATATTATAGGCAAAAAAAAAATAAATTTAAACCAAAGTCTTAGTAAAAAAGTATAGTTATTAAAATAGACTTTAAAATAGAAAAATTACAAATTGTGTAGTATTAATTTTCTTTAATCCTGTACATTAGAAGTAATTTATTTATTTGTAAAGGACTAAAAGTTTTATAATGAGAAAAAAACTATCAGACATATGGTTTTTATAATGAAAAATGTCAAATACCATCACGCAGTGATCATCACCGCACCAGCATTATCAAATATTGGCGGGCGGAGTTTCATGTCATTTTTAATTTTGCCCAAAATTCTACCCTAATTCAGGTAAGATGATAATCTCTAGAGGTGATATTTAGCAATACTATTTTAAAATTTGATTTATAATTCGGTTTAGGGGAAATGGACAATATATACTATTAATAATATAATTTATAAAATTTAATGCTAAAATTTAAGTGGTAATAATCTCATATTGTAATATTATAATAGAAATAAATACAAATCATTACTATACACGTACATTTAAAATAAAATTTACGTAATGTAATTGTAAACTCTAATCAGTTAAATCAGTTTGGTAAGCCTCAACTAAGCAAAAAAAAAAATATATTCAAAATCAGTAATTATGGATCAACAGTTATTTTTCGGAAAAAGCCCAGTTGCTGTGTGGTCTGATAAACAAAAATTTTTGCACTGCCACATTTCATTATGAGAATATTTAAATGACCCCTCCCCCCTCATTTCTTTTAAAAAATCTTCCCTCCCTTTAATTCTTATACTATCATATATACTATTTCTAAAAAAAATTATGTAATTTATATAATAAAGTTAAACTTTATGATTATTACTTAGAATATTAAAATTATCAGTATTTACCTTTTGCAATTTTTTTTACATAGTAGGACAACAGGTCTAAATTTAAATGAAATTTAAATATAAATATAGATAAATTTTTACTTATTATAAATTCCCTTCCTCTTAATATTTAATCACTTCATTTTTCTAAAATAAAATTTGAATATTTTATAAATCCCAAATGTTTTTCTTAAAAAAAGAAATAATTTTCCATTAACAGGTTATCCAATTTCATACAAACTCACTTGGATACATAATTACCAGTATTTATGTATTAGAAATATCAAACCAGCTAAATATTTCAAACATTTGTTATAACATCACCATCAAAGTTTTATGCGAAGTTCTCAACAGGCTGTGCAAGGCTCGTAATCATGGTACTTCTTACTTGAAGGATTTGCATGACATTCAAGATGGAGAATAGGGTCCAATATTTAAAAATGAAATTTGAAAATTTTATTGAAATAACAAATTTTCTGAAAAAAAGAAATAATTCTACATTAGCAGGTTAAGATCACTTATGCATATGATTACCAAGTATTTATGAATAGAAGGTTTATTATGGAAATATATAACCAAAAACAGCAAGCTATTATGATGCAAAGCTTGTTAATATTTTAACCAATGTCTTCAGAATGTAAAATTTTCAAAGTTTTATAAACTGCAATAAACAAAAAGCAAGTCATAGAAGCCAGAACATTCTAGTGGAAATGAACTAAAAATGTCACAACAAAACCAAAAATTGTTTTCAAACTCTTTTATTGTTACATAAAAACACAAGAAATCAAAAAAATTTTTTAGTAATTAACAAATTAAACCATATTATTGCAAATAAACACTTTTTTACAAATTATACTAAAAGATCCAAATGACAACATGGAAAAAATAAGTTCTTTTTTTAATTAAATTATTAGAATTATCTAAAATTGTATGCAAAATTTTTGGCATTTGAGCAAATTTAGAATCATGTGAATTTTTCTTTTATGGGATTTTTACATACAAATTATATATTGTTTAAATACTCTTATTTTCTATATCTCCTATTTTCATATAATTGATCAATTTCTACTTCAAATTTCTTAATGCAAGATGAAAATCTGAATGCTTGCCTAAATTAAGTTGTTGGTATCACAACCATAAATATAATAAATAATAATCATGGCCAAAATCTCAGAACATAAGCAAGCTTAGAATACTAAGAGAATTTAATTGCAACTTAAAAATAAATGTAAGGAATCAATGTCATATTGAAATGAAAATTATCAGTACTGTTGAAGAAAAATGAATAAATTATAGACATTATTATAGATTTATCTTATGAGGACATTAAAACTATTACAATACTTAACACAATGATTACAATTTGCCAGGATTGGTAATATTGTAATAAACTTTATAATTGATATAACTGAAGTCAATTAATCATAGAATTGCAGTGAATTTGGTGTATACTCACATTAAACCCTGATACTCGTTAAATTATATTATAATTTATTATTCTTATTTCCATTACTCTATTAAATTATCTAATCAAAATTTAGGGAATTGTAAAGCAATTCTCACCAGTAAAAAAATTAAAATTTAATATGCAATTTAAGCATATATTCAAATTATAATTAAACAAAAAAAGTCAAAATATATTAAAAAGAGTGGAAATAACTAAACTTTAGAAATTAACAGCAGCACCATCATATTAAATTTCAGAATATAATGATTTTGAATTAGCAAAATCTGGTAATATAAGTGATAGATAAATCTTATCATCAACTTTACATTTAGGTAGTACTCATTTTTTTTATAAATAATTTTGACAAATATCTGATAAACATTTTAATAATTTTTTATAGTCAGAAGATGGGATTTGCAAAGAAAATACAATTTATCAAAAATAGAGTAACTATTAATTATTATTAAAACAAAGTTCAATTTACACTCATATTATTAAGTCTTTAGGAGATTATATCAAAGAATATACTTCAGTTATTCAAATTTGAGAATTATCTACTAAAATTATGATTATAATATAACTTTACTACTATATCACTACTATTATCAATTTAATATGGTATATAAAAAAAGAAACTCTTTCTCATTAATCATTTGGTCAAAAATTTTTAT